TATCAAATTTTTTTATAAAATTTTTTTTATAAAATTAGATAAGCTTTATAAATATTTTTGTTTATAATAATATTTATATATAATATAAGTAGCTTTACAAATAATTATTCTATAAATAATTATTTTATTTCCTTGAAAATCTCTCTTTCTCTCTCCATTTATTAAAATATAAGCTGCCGTCGCTTTCGATGTTCGTAAAGGTAATCATTACGGTCATCATTGTAATCACTACGATGATCGTAATCGACGCTTGAGCTATGAGTTTGTATGTAGCTGGTATGTGGATGTTTCACTATTTCATAAGAAACTTTTTCAGAATCTGAAAGAAAATTTTATTAATTAAATCATTTCATATAAATTAATGGTTTGTTTTGACATTATAAAATCATATTATTTTATAAAAGCTAACCTGTCAAATTTCTATGATCAGAAAAATTTACAGAATATATTTAAAAACGGAAAAGTTATCAAAAAACTTTAAAAATATATTACCGTCAAAAACAAAATTAGTATATGTTATAAAATCTGTTATAGAACAAAATATGATTTAATTTGAGAAGCTACATTTTAAGATTTATTTTAAATTTATAAGTTTGTACATATATTTTTTTCTTAATATTTATTTTCAATATTCTTTCTTTTCTTACTTTTAACTGTTTAATTTAATTAACTATACTGTTGTTAAAAAAAAAAACAAATATTTGTATGCATTTCTTTTGATCATAGAGGCTCGGCTTTCAAATATACAAGCATAAAATAATAATTTTTTATAAATTGATTTACCTACCACGTACCATTCTTTTTTACAATTGCGGCAATGGCAATCGCTATAGCTACTTTGGCAAGCAATATTGCTTTTCCCGCGAGAGCTGCAACGCCATGTAATAGTCCATACAGCAATGCTGCTTTCAAAGCAGCTAACATGTAAAAAACTATTCTGTCTTTTCCTTTTTTATCTTTTTTCCGAGCAGAAACTGAAATTTAAAATAAATTTATCAATTAACCAAGTATTTATACTATTTAATTTAGCTTAAAAATTAAATTATATTATTAAATTAATCAAATCATAATATTATGAAAAAAATAAAAGTACTGATTATAAATAAATTATTATAAACAAATATAATATATGCAAGCGAATATACATCTTTATTTTTATCTCCTTCTTTTCTCTTTATGTATAATATCAAATTTATATATATAAAAGAATTATTATTTTTTTAAAAAACAATG